AATGCTACAAAATAAACAAATTTTTTAGAATATTCTTTCTCACTTTTATTCACGATTCAGAAATTATTATATTTCTTTAGAATAAGAATTTTAAATTGTGCTAAACAAATATAGGGTCAGGGTTAGACTTTTAAATTAAATAAATTACTATATAAAGTGGTAATTTGAAAAACGCTACTTTTTTAGATTTACCAGACACGTTATGTGTGTTATCACAAAGTATCAATATCAGATCAGTATTGCAGATACCAGCCAAATTTTACTCTGTTTCAGTTTTTGAAAGAAAATTGGCCTTATCAAACATCACTAGTGCTCAGGAATGTAACGTTTCCTGTTTAGTTGAAGTTAATTACAACTTTAAGCTCATGTGACCCTCGGTGGAAACGAGTTTGACACCTCTGTGGAATCTGTTGTCTTTGGTCACATTTTAGAACCCGATAAAGACCAAATTTGCTCTAATTTGTCCTGATTAAAAGTTAAAACCCTGGAATGGAGAAAAAAAAGGTGGACTCTGTTTTACCTATAAAAGCTAGAATCCTGGTTCTTCTCTCTAGGGGTTCCCAACCTCTTCCTCGTGGAGACGATCGACTCAGCCAAGCTGGCGGACAGGGTCAGCAGCTCGTGGCAGCGCCTCCGAGGCTCCAGCAGCCAGAGGTTAAAAATCATGGTTCAGGTCAACACCAGCGGAGAGCAGAGTGAGTGTCGCCGGTCGCAGAGACGCGCCCCCGGCAGGTTCAGTGTTTCACCACAGGCTGTTGCGTGTCGGTTGCAGGCAAACACGGCCTGCCGCCGGAGGAGACAGTCGACACGGTCAAACACATCATGTCTCAGTGCACCGCCCTGCACTTCTTAGGACTCATGACCATCGGGCGCTACGGCCACGACCTCGCCCTGGGTTCCAACCCGGACTTTCAGGTACATAGAAAACCTTCTGAAGGAACTTTATTTTGTTTTAAACGGATTATCAATGTTTCTGTGAGTTTATAGTAAAGATTCAGATCTAAACTTGGTTATAGATGCTGCTGAGTCGGAGACAGGAGGTGTGCGACAGTCTGAAGATCCCCCTGGAGGAGGTGGAGCTCAGCATGGGCATGTCCAACGACTTTGAACACGCGGTGCGTAMCTTTCTTTACCTGGGAGAGTCACGTTTAAATGCTAAAATTAGGAAAATTAACACAGTGAATTAATCCAAAGTTTTGCCTATTTTTCATGCATTTTCACAGTTTTACAGCTTTAAGCTTGGTTCAGATGGCAAGATTTTAAAATAGTCTGTCAATTTTCAAAACCTGAGAGACTCCAAACAGGACAATAAAAACTCAGATTTGATCTTACAGTTGTGTGGTGTACAATCACAGCAAAGACAACACACCACACTAACAGATTTCACTCAGACTCACAGAAACCTCTCTATCAAATGTTTCTGGTGAACTAATGAACCGGAGCAGCAATCAGGTAATAATCCAACTTGTTGAATATCCCCGATTTAAGATTGGAGCAGTCCTGATGTCCTTCTGAGCTGACTAGACCACTCATCACAATAATCAGCGCATCCATAAGATTGTCAGATTAGGTCAAAAATTGTTACAATTGTCTTGCCGTCTGAACCAGGCTTTAGCCAATAACGTGATGAATTCATGTAAAACTTGTCAGATTTGTAAGAACGTTTATTCTCTTTTTGTCTTACCACCCCTGGGGTTAAAGATCGAAATTGGCGCCACCAACGTCAGAGTAGGCAGCATCATCTTCGGCAACAGGGAGTATCCCAACAGTGCCGCAAACACTCCGAACCCCAGTCCGCTCCCCAGTCCGGCTCCCAGTCCAGAGAAAACCTCCAAGACGGTGTCGGAAGAAGCTGCCAAGAAGATGAAACACCTCACCGTATCCGAACACTGAGACGAGGATAAAAACTAACCTGGAGCCTACCACTGCAAACAACATCTCCGAAAACCTTAAGGAGAATTCTCATGTTGACAACTTTTTGTGTGCCCTTCTTGCTCTTTTGAAGATTAAATTGACATTTGGTTTGAAGCTAAGGTAGTTCAGCTGTTTTTTTAAACAGAATTTTAGCGCTTTGGCTTCCAACACAAAGCTTTTTAGTGAAGATTACAGGATAGAAACTACTGACAATATGACTTTAAAGAACAGTCTTAATTTGTTTGAAGTGGGGTTATGTGACGTGGTTATTAGTAATTTTATTAACTGCAGCAGTTAGTTGTCACTTTACTGGATTGAGCCATTTACCCCTACCTCAGTGAGGTAAGTCTGTTCAGACTGAGGTTGCTTAGAAAATCGTATGGATCTGATTTAGTAACATTAAAAAAAGATATGATATAAATATTAGAGCTGTGACTTTGGCGAACGATCCAAATCTTTTGAACGGCTCTTTACAACGAATGATAGGAGCCGAATCGCGGGCAGAAATGAGCCATTCGTAGTTTTATTTCATTTAGTCCTCATATAGTCAGGCAGAGTTGTGGAGTACAGAAGCTCACGGGGAAATGGGGGTTTCCGCTTGACGAACAAATGGTTCCACCCACGTGACGGGATTACGTAATTTCCCTACGTGATGACATAATACGTTCAAAATCGAACGGCTTTATGAAACAAACGGCTCGCCAAGATCCGGATCCCTTCAAAGAGCCATTTATCCAATCCATCTCTAATAAATATACATATTCAACATGGCAAGTCAATCCAACCAGTCCTTGTTTACCCAAACCACACCCACATGTCAATTTGACCAATCATGGTTTACCCAAACCATGCCCTCAAGTCAATCTAACCAATCGTGGTTCACCTAAACGTCCACAAGTCGATCTGATCGATCAGTTTGTCCAAACCACTCCCACAAGTCATTCCAATCAATCATGGATTACCCAAAACATCCACAATTCATTCTGATTAATCACTGTTTACTTAAACCACGCTCATAAGTCGGTCCGACCAATCAGTTTACTTAAACCATGCCCATTCAACAATCTGACCAATCGCGGTTCACCAAAACAATGCCCACAAGTCACTCCTACCAATCATGGTTTTTATTAAACTGCACCCACAAGTCAATCCGACCAATCACAGTTTACTTAAACCACACCGGTACATCAAYTCGACCTATCGCGGTTCACCTAAACAATGCCAAAAAGTCAATCTGATTGATCACAATTTATCCAAACCACTCCCACAGGTCGATACAATCAATCATGGTTTACCCAAAATGCACCCACAAGGTAATCTGACCAATCACAGTTCACCTAAACAATGCCCACAAGTCACTCCTACCAAACATGGTTTTTATTAAACCACACCCATACGTCAATCCGATCAATCACGGTTCACCTAAACAACGCCTACAAGTCAATCTAATTGATCATAATTTATCGAAACCACTCCCACAGTTCGATCCAATCAATCAGTTTACCTAAACAATGCCCATAAGTAACTCTGACCAATCACGATGTACCCAAACTACGCCCACAAGTACATCCGATCAGTAATGACATACCCAAATCACGCCCACTCTCAAGAAAGAGACCCCCTACTTGGTTCTTTTAGGTGTTTGACAAAGTAAATATTCAAAACTTACAAAATAAGAGGTTTAACTTAATTTAGTTGGTGGACATTTTTGCATGAGTAGCTCTTAGCTTGAGAGATCATTCTGCTTCAGGTAAGACACTGGCTGCTTATGAGTACTCCACACAACCCCACTTTAACTAAACGTTCCCTTGTCTCCCTTTTAAGATGTTTAAGGATAGTGTTTGACGCAAATAACTTTGAGATTCCTGACTAAAAACGTCTTAATCTGAGGGAAAAGATGAGATTTCGTTGAGTGTTTTCTACCTTCAGGAATCCGTACGGTTTTTATTGTACACTTGAAGCAAAGACTTGATTTAAAAGATGATCCCTTTATAACATTTAGTATCGTGCATTTGATATGGTTTCGTATGACGTGCCTAACGTGTCAAATCTTTATTCTTGATAATCGAAGTTTGGTTTTTGTGTTTTTAGTGCGTGTTTCGAGTCCGTGCCGTGTTGTTTCCAGACGCAAGAAAGTGAATCTATGCAAATGTTAGATTTTAACCCTGCGGTGGTTTTTCTTCAAAAGATGTCAGGAACCGTTTTTTTTTTTCACATAAAGTGGCAGTAAAAAATAACAAAGATTAACTTGTGGTTAGATGTGTGCTTTCTGTCTCAAAACGTTTAATCTTTGTTTGGTTTAGAGTCTGAGGAAAGGCAAGAACCAAGCAATAAATTTCACTGTTGAAATTATCGAACATTTGTTGTTTTTATTCATATTTAAAGTGTCTGTGACGCTTATCCATTAAATACAAAGTAAATATCTTTATATTTAGGAAACTTGGCATATTACGAACTCTGACTCATCTCTAATGGACTTAATCTAAAGAAACATTAGATTCTTCTTTAGTCTGTGTTGTTAGCCATTACAGCAATGCTCTGTTTACATGCAGACATTCCCCTTTGACATYACTTCCTGTTTCTTCATGTGAATATCTCAACACCTGTCCGTCTCAGCAGCGTAGCTTTTTTGCAATACGTTATGTTTCAAAAAATGCAATCATATTTCGAAAAAAAAATTACATCACAGGCACTTTAATGACAAAGAAACATTAAAAAAACATGTTAGTTTGGCTAAACCTTCTTTATTAACCACTGTAAGGCGACATCCAGACTAAAATGAAGTGTACAGAATAATTAAAACCACTTTAAACAGGAGTTTAGTGCAGCAGCATGTTTCTCATTCAAAATAATTACAACAAAAAAACTGTCCTATTAAAACTTGGCAGAAAACACGTTCCGTCGACTGCTCAATAAATAAAATTTGACAAAACTCGTTTGTTGACTTGAATTTTGGGTAAAAATCAGTAGAAAACAAACAACTGTTATTTACAGAAAAACAAACAGATTTAAAGGATCGTACACTGTATTTACAGACTTGTTCGGAGCTAAAAACTTTACAGTTTATTAAGAATGTTTTTTTATATTTAACACTGAAATGTAGCTGAAATCATAACAAATCTGTGCATCTTCTACGTGCATTTATCTGATGAGACAAATTAAATAAACCACTGTCATGAAAGCCAGGCRATCATGTAACTGCCTCAAATATAAAGACGGAATTGGTGAAAAAATGTGATGTAATTCTGCAGATCAAGAAATATCTGAAACGATCAAATTCAACAGATTTCCGATAAACTGAATAAATTTTTTTCATGCCGTTACAAAGGCTTTTTTCATAAAACCTTTATGAAACTGCTGCTCATAAATAAAGACGAGAGCAAAAAGTCAAGTTGCTTCAGTAAAATATCGTGACCTTTGACCGGAAACAAACTAATCTGATTTTAGGGTTATTTTTTCTGAAACATTCTTTTCTCCTGTGAAAATCAAACRTTTCTCCAGAAAACATCACAAACACAGGTGAGACCGGAATGTTGTGCTACGGAGGGAAAAGAAAACGTTGCTCAGGGTTGGTTTGTGGGAAAGAACTGGTACCGCCAGTGGTTGATATCTTCCTCCTCCTCCTCTTCCTCGATGGTTCTGCTGGAGGTGGAAGAGACCCAGCTCTGCGGAGTCCAGTCCAGGTCGCTCCCCCCCCGGCCCAGTCGGACGTTAGACCAGCTTCTTGGCCTCGAAGAAGCTCTTTAGGTGCCTCATCTGCCAGATGCCGGTGATGATGAGGATGAAGGTCTGAGCGATGGACCACCAGAGGACGCGCTGGTTGGTGCTCTCGCTCGTCATGCGAAAGCGCTCCTCACGATACTAAAAAAAAAAAAAAAACATTTAAGGGCGAGCCAAAGACCGAACGGTCAGACGGTCTCTGGTTCAACTCACCCTCTGGTAGTTCTGCTCCTTCTGGATCTGCTCCACCTGGTCCAGCAGCTGCCGCACTCGCAGCTGCAGCTCTGTCAGTTTGTCCTTGGCTGCGATCTCGGGGTAGTTGTTGGTGTGTTCTCCCACCTGGATGTCCAGGTGAACTCTCTGCAAACATCAAGGTGTGGTTTTTAATATGACAAAATAAGGCTCCACTGGGCTGCTCTTATATTAATTAAAGCTAATAAATTTACCGTAGAGGCTAAACCAATTTTTATAAATAGAAGTTCTGACAACTCCCTCAATTTTTTTTTCTTTGCAGGGCTGATTGGAGCCTAGCTGGTGACTAGTGACGCTAACCAAAAAGTTAGGTTCATTAACACTAAACTGACATTTTTTTTAAATCGTGGAAGCTAATGCTAATCGCAAAGACAACAACCCAGTTGTGGGACTGGAATCAATGGTGAGCACAGCTAAACACTAATCTGCTCAGCAAGAATCTAAGCTCTAATGTTAATTGATAAAAAAAATTTGTGAAAGCTAACAGCTTAAAACAACTGGAGGGACTGACAAACCTGTTTTGGTTTTTGAAAGTGGGCGAGATCATCTGTGGCAAATCGGCCAATCCGAACCAGAGTTATAGCTCAATCTAACTTGTGAAACTTCCAGTTTACCCCTTTCTCTTTGATCAAGCTTGTATTTTCATAATTAATCAAACAAATAAATACTTTCTTTTTCATATTTCATTTTTAGTCACTTTTTTTGTATTCATTATTTAAATAATAAAATTTTTTGATGCTCTTGGTTTGAAGTTTAGATGCTACATGCTACACACACGGTGTCTGACATGTCCGGCACAGCTTGTAACAGGGGATAGGTTTGATTTCATTCAAAATAAACAGCTTAAAAATAGAAGTTGTTACACTTGTGAATTTTTTAGTGGACTTAAAATTAGAGGAATCTAATTTAGCTGAAGCTAATCGGTCCGCTAACAGTTTCCAAAGTTAGCAAAAAGGCTAATCTGCAGCTCATTTTTGAAAATTGCGACCTAATTTCACGGGAATGGCTTACAAAATTGTATTCTTGGCTGCGTGCGCATTATTTTGTTGCAGTAAGTTGGTGCAGAGGTTATTATGAAACTTGTATTATTACATCTATATCATGATTAAGGATTAACTTTTGAAATAAAAGTGGTGAATTAAAGTTGTTCGTACCAGCTTGCCTCCTGCAAACAGAGCCATCTTGGTGGAGTTGGAGTGTAAACAGATCTGATGCTCCCCAGGAGTGTGGGAGGTGAACGTGAAGCGTCCTTCAGAGCCGTACTGACGAGACAGGATGATCTGGAAAACACAACCTTTTAATAGTTGGGACAATTGTTCAGCACGCGGACGTGTTTTATAAGAACGGCACTTCCTCCCTGCGTTTACCTTCGTGTCCGGATCCTTGATCTCGACATGCATCCCGAGGCCAGGGGTGGACGGAAGAAAGGACCCGGTCTGTTTGTCCCACAGCTGAGTCCGGTACTTTCCTGCAAGAAACGACACATGCAGGAGGTTAAAGCTACTGCTCTTATAGCTGTTTGATGGCCTTTAGCTGCTTTTAACTAGCTTTTTGATGCTTTTGACTGGACTTCAACTTTTAGCTGGCATTTTGTTACTTTTAGTTTAATTTAACCTTACAGCTAGTCTTTTGCCACTTTTAGTATTTTACTATTTTTAGCTTTTAGTTACCCTTATCTTACTTTTAGCTGGCTTTATAGTTTTCATCTGGTTATTTTGTAACTTTCAGCTTTCAGGTAGCCTTTTGCTTCTTTTAGCTAGCTTTTCACTACTTTGTTAGCTTTTTTGTTACCTCTTGGTTCACATTTTTTAGCTTTATTATTTTGTAGCTTTATGCTTCTAATTAGCCTTTTGCTACTTTTAGTTTAAGGTTAGCTTTCTGATATTTTTAGCTTTATCTTTTTGCCACTTTTAGCTTTTATTTTGCCTCGTTAATTTTAGCCTCTGGCATACTTTTAGCTACAATATAAAAAAACTTGTTACTTTTTCACATTAATATTAGCTTTTAGTTATTTAGTGGCTTTATGCTCCTAAATTAGCTTTTTGCTTCTTTTAAGTAACGCTTTGATAATTTTAGCTTCTGGTTTTMCTTTTGTTACTTTTTCCTTCTAGGTAGCCTTTTTCTACCAGGTTAGCTTTTTTTGATTTTTTTAGCTTTATGTTGTCACAACAGCGCCCTCTAGTGACAAGAAGTAATAACAGCAATTTAATTTAAATGCAAAACCAAAACACTAAAGTATTTACAATATGTTTTCATAGAAAATGCAGTTTATCTAGTTTAAATATATTTTACGGAATGGTGTAAATATTTTTTCCTAACTGAACTGCCTATATTTTTAATAATCTTAATGTTTATGGTTATTTCATACTGAGACTTATGGACAGAAACGTCCTGTTTAAATTAATCGGAACAATATTCTAAACAGGTGAAATCTTAATAAAGAAAAGGCAAACCAAGAGCAGCTTTTCACTCTTTGGTTTGTATCACTTTATTCGGTTTGAACCCCACAAACAACTCTTTCTGACGTCTGCTAACGTCTTTGGAACAACCAGCTATTAGCGCAGACTGCTAGTTAGCCGCTAAGCTAACGGACCACCGGCTCACCGATCACCATCGTCTCGTCCGGAATTTCTTCAATGAAGCATTTTTTCTCCGTCTCTCCTATGTGGAAATACAGCGCGCGGCTCGGGTAAATAAAAGCCASAAGGAGAGCGGCTGCAGCAGCTGACGCGGACAGCATCATGTCACCTCCCTYACTACAGCGGACATGAAAATGCTGCAGCTCGGTGACGTCATCTTTCACTACGGAAAGAGAAAGGGGATTTCCTGTGAGCGCGCGGAGCTTTAGGCCCCCGAGTTCAGACTGACAGGCGCAACTTTGCAAGGAACTGGTTGAAACTTAAATTGKTAAACAGAAACGTAAATAAATTTAAATTTAAAAATGTTTAATTTTGTAATTGGSCACGATTTAGTTGTTTAAATAAAGGGTTTATTATGAAGAAGTGGTGGGCTTATAAACATAAATTAAATCTAGCTGTATATTGCAGTGTATTTTGCACATTTTCATATTAAATAATTTATTTTTATTGTTTCACCTTAATTACGTTTTTGTATAATTCTTGCTTGTTGAAAACAAATCATATTTTAATAAAACATTTTTTTTAGTACTTAAAACTTGTGCTAGGGCTCAGTGTCCTGCGAGGCTAAACTCRGGGTTAACTGTCCCATTTTTTCGAGCTAACAACACTCTCGGCTGGGCTTACAGATTCAGCTTTTACTGGAAATTTTAACCGCGCCCAGGAGAACTTACAAGACTGGATAAAATGCTGTTAGTGAGGCACATTTTTCACTAATGTTCATTATTATATATTTTTAGTAAAAATAAATAAATAAACGCCTCTGTTTGTCCTCCCGACATTATGCTAAATTAGCCTACCAAGCTAATTAGCTAGCTTCTCTATACTCGCCTATTGTTTTTAAATAAACAACCCGGTGAATTAGCTTTGTTTGAGACAACCTGACCAGTTGATCTTCCGGACTTTAGGATTGGAGAAAAAAAAAAGAAGGTAAGATACGTATTTTTGTCGTAAATGAACCGTGTTGTCTCTGTACAGATTATTTATTGACATTTAACGTTAGCTTATGTTGAGGAATACTGTGGCCATCCTGTTTTTAAGTATCAGGACTGTTTCCTATGTAAATATATATAGATATTTTTTCTCAGTGAGTGAGCACATTGCATTCTCCATCATAATAMAAGCATAATCTACACAAACCGTCCAGATAAGAACAAAAATAAAAGCAAAATCACGTTTCAGTTAAGATAAATAATGAAACATSTCTCCTGAACATGGTATTTATCCGAGCTCATCTATGTTGAATGATTATAAAATAAGAATAATTAAAATCACGAGTGGTTCTATATAACTCAGGCCTGCTGAGCATAGATTAAGGTAWTAAAATAATGTATCAGGTGATGTTTTCTTTACCTGTAAAGTTTTACAGCTCGTTAAACAGCTCTTACATTTATTCATAAAATGAGATAAAAAAAATGTGTTTTCCTTCTCTATAATTCAACTTTATAGGAAATTAAAGTGAAAGTGAAAGTTTAACATATTTTAGTCGACTTAACGAGGCAGAAACGTGTTCAACCTCTGAAACCGAAGGCCTTACTTAGTTACGAACAATTGTGATTATTTAATACTGTTGTGTCAAAACGAAAGCATCCAGTTTACATGGCAACACATTGCTCAACAAAAGTCGTCTTAGGACTCAAAAGTTACATTGTAAAAAGGCAGTTGGTAAATCAGAAGCATTTATTGCCATTCACACAYACAACATCAAGATGCAGTTTAGAACATCCGTCCGGAGAAACACACACACACACAACAAACATGGGAGAACGAATGTCCAGGGTCCTTCACCTAAATAATAAATATTGATCTAAGGAAGCTAGGAAATTTTGTAGAAACTTCACTTTGTCAGTGTCCCTTCCCACGCAGCACTCTGGTGACAGTGAAAATAAACAACTCCCTTTGAACAGGAAGAAACCTCCAGCAGAAAAAAGTACAACGAAGTAAGAGCGAGCAAAGACAGCAGCAGAGGGAAGAAAATGKGGTCAGTTTGTCTTCCAGCAGTGGTCTATAGCAGCAGAACTAAGGGATACCTCAGGAAACCCAAACCTAAATATAGTGTCTGCGTCGTGGACAAAAACCGTAAGGTGTTTCAAGATAGGAGCTTGATAACTGAAAGCTCTGCCTCTTTTTCTACTTTTAAAAACTCAAGGAACCAATTAGGAAAATACGGAACAATAAAATCTAAAGAATTTCTTCATTTAATAATTTTAAAATGGTATTTATGCTTTATATTATGAACTTTTTAACCTAAAATTTGACTCTTAGGAAGAGCTAGTTTCTGTACCATGAGGATAAGTACAGTAATTAAATCTAATAATTCTTTAAACACAGAGAAACAAAAATATAAACTGTGAATAAGCACAAATTTATTCTTATAAAGGGATGAAAATAAAAACTTTTTGTTGTCAATGTTTTATAAAGAAAAGGAGCTGTTTAGCTTTTATTTATATTACGTTTATTTGATAGGAACAGACACACAACAACATAGACACTGAATAAAACAGCAGTCCCATACCTGCTAATTAGCACCACTTGTCCCTAGATGRACTTTTATAAACAGTATATCTAAAAGGGTCTTTCTTCTATGTTTATACTAAAGCATGGAATGACATTCCTCAAAACATAAAGTCCATTTCAAAACTACAGCCCTTTAAGAAGAATCTTGTCTGCCATCTGCTGGACACTTTTTGTTGTGCTCATWTTTAGACGTCCTATTTTGCAAATGCTGCCTTCCTGAAATTTGGTMTGCTTGTTTGTCTTTGTGTCTATGGTGTATAATGATGTGATTGTGATGCTGTATTTCTGAGTGTTTTATGTGCTGCAGAACAGGAACCTGCTGTAAAACAGCAATTATGCTGAGTCAGGCTTGATTTTTTAGTAATCTTCTCCTGTTAAATCAATAAATCAAATCAAATCAAAATGTGCCTAAAAAGTATAATAAATTTTTTTTAAGTAAAATTAATAATATAAACAGTCTTATACATAAATCAAAGACACTACAGCATACAATAAAACATTATAAACATGAATAAAAATACCAAAACAAACAAACAAAACTAGATTTATTATTATAATTATTAGATTTAATTTGTAATTTGGATTTTAAATACTTGACTTTAAATAAAACTATTTTGGGAACTAAGGCTACAAGAAGGGAAGCAGGTAAAGGACCAGCACACACTGGGCTGATTTATTTTTTATTTTTTAACTAGACCATAAGAGTCACCAGGGAGGCAGTGAAAACRTTTTTGTTTGTCTCTCTTCGTTGTTTGGACGGATAAATAAAGGAGGAGAATCAGAAAAACAAACATCCCGCAAAATCGAATAGAAAAATAGAACCAGTTTTCAAAGCTGTGGATAAAACAGTAGTTATGTTTGTGCAGGAATGGTGCAGCCCCAGCCTGATGGTCCGATGCAGTGGGACATGTCGGGGGAGGACAGCGGGGGGGCCCTCAGGGTCCCACCAGAGCTCGCTGGCAACGAAGTGGTGACCAGACTGCTGTGCGACAACCAGCAGCTCCGAGGTAAAAAAAGAAAAGCTTTTTTTGACGAGCGTTTGGTGTGCATTCAGTGCGGCGAGCAGTTTGTGTAACCTCATCCGTGCGTTGCTCAGAGGCTCTGCGGCGGAGCAACCTCGCCCTGCGTCAGCGCTGCGAGGAGATGGAGGGCTGGCAGCGGAAAACCAGGGAGGAGCGAGAATTCCTCAGCTGCCGTTTCCAGGAGGCCCGGGCGCTGGTGGAGCGGCTGGCCCAGGAGAACCACTCCTTACACAGCATGGTCAACCTGCCGGCGGCGTCGGCCTCCAATCACTGCTGCAACTCCAGCCAGACCGAAGACTTGCAGGGACGCCCCGCCAAAAACGGGCCGGTAGAGGGGCCGCAGGTTTGTCCACTTACCTGTTACCTGAGGTTTGATGTTGCTGCAGTCATAAAGATGCTAACAGACACGGCCACACGTGTCTAAAACCAGGAAAGACTGAAAAAAAAAACTTTATGAATGAGGCGGCCAGAATTATTACATTTTATCAGTTGAATCTGATTTCAGCCTATTGAAGAAGCTAAAAATAAACAGATCACTAGCTAAAACCAAAGGTAGCAAATCTGTTGCAAAAAGTAGCAAAATGCTAGTTAAAAGTAGGAAAATGGTAGCTAGAAACTAAAAGCAGCAAATGTATAGAAAAAACTGTAGCTAGAAGCTAAGAGCAGCAAGTCTTATCTAAAAATAGCAAAAAGCTAGTTAAAAATAGTTAACTAATAGCTAGAAACGAAAAGCTGCAATTGAGAAAATATAGAAAATAATGTAGCTAGAAGCTAAGAGCAGCAAAGTTTATCTAAAAGTAGCAAAAAGCTAATTAAAAATTGCAAAAAGATAGCTAGAAGCTATAGGCAGTAAATAAAATATAGAAAATAATGTAGCTAGAAGCTAAGAGCAGCAAGGTTTATCTAAATGTAGCAAAATGTTAGTTAAAAGAAGCAAACTAGTAGCTAGAAATGAAAAGCAGCAAATAAAATATAGAAAAAAGTGTAGCTAGAAGCAAAGGGCAGCAAAGTTTAGACATCTAAATCTAAAAGTTGCACGTGGATGCTAAAGGCTAAATGTAGCAAAGGCTAACTCAAGTGTTTTGCTCGCAGATAAATATGAAATTGTACCTCAAAGTTGCTAAATGTAAATAAAGTAAATGTAGGAAATAGCAATTTACAATTAGCAAAAGAAGAACCAAAAAATTAAATGTAGCAAGAGGCTGAAAGAGTCAAAAGGAAAGCTACAAGTTGTAGCTAAAACTAGCAGACTGGTATGTAGAAGCTAAAAGCAACAAAATGGTTGCTAAATGTATGAAAAAAGCAGTCTAAAAGTTGCAAGTGGATGCTAAAGGCTAAATTTGGCAAAGGCTAAGTGTTAATAGATTAGCTAGAAACTAAAGATAGAATTGTAGCTAAAAGCTGGTAGGTAGAAGCTAAAAGCAGCATAAAGTTAGCTCAAAGTAGCTAAATGGGTTTTATATGTAGCAAAAAGCAATCTAAAGATAGCCAAAGGCTAACTGAAAGCTAAATATAACAGTAGGTGGACTAAAAGTGTCAAAGGGCAAGCTAGCAGTTAAAAAAAGTAAACGGTAGCTAAAAGTAGCTGAAAGCTATATGTAACCGACTGGTAGCTAAAAGCTTATATTGGCTACAGAAGACAAAAGCAGAGCGAGTAGCTGAAACAGATTTCAAGWGAATAATGTTTTTAAAGGAACTGATGAGGTTTTTGTATCTTTCTATGAGTAAAATATTTGTAAACAGAATGTTTTTTTTAATATGAAAGTTACTAAAACTAAAACTCACACATCGCCTGAATGAGCTGAATGTTTTGATGTGTGAACAGCTAAAACAGCCCAAAGTCTGAAACGAACAGGAAAAACCGAAGAAGAAAACCTTTGTTTTGCCTTCAGAAGAACGTCTCTTATTTTTGTTTCGTCTTTCAGACTCTGGATCAGTGGGAGAGAAAACGGGTCGAGGACACGGAACAGCAAACCCAAACCACTCCGCTTCGCAGCCTGGTGAGACGTTTCAGCTCGTTGGTCCTGTTTCTGCTTAATCAGCTGCTTCATGTCGCCTGCCTTCGCCTATTCTGTCTCACTACACTGTACACACAAATGTCCTTTAAATTAAAAACATTAAATTCAACATTAACCTTTTATAAACACGTTACAGCTTGATTTACTGAAAATCAAGTTGTAAAACTGAATAAAACAATTTGATTTAAGCTGATGAACACCATAGAGACTCTATTAGAATAAAATTTAAATGGAGGTTAAAAACTCTGCAAACTTGATATTCTTCTGACAGCAAGTCTCCAACCTGATCTTGTTTTATTTTCTGGCTCCAGTGGCACAAAGAGCCTTAAAGTTCACCACAGTTTTTAAAATTTTCAAAGATTTTGTGACCTTTTGCCTCTAATTTAATCGCAAGAGCCAGTAGTTGAAGCATTTAAAGTTGTCATAGTTTTTTTTTTTTTTCATAAACCAATCAGGGCATATTTGTTTGCCTGTGTTCCAGTACTCCAGCTTTAAACTCTGTGATATTTATCAGGTGGTTTGTTGGCACCTGATAGAAATGTGAGGCCGCACATCACCTGGGAATGTCAGCGAACCAGTTTGTGTTAATCGTGACGAGCTGAAAGCGTGTTTCTGTGACCCGCGCTGCTGAAACGAGTCACATCGAGGAAGCATTTCATATTTAGTTGTTGTTATTTTCAAATTATTTTTCATCTGAGAAGCTTCAGAATATCTTTCAGTGTGTTGAAATTTAGTGTTTTACCACATGGCAACCTGCTGGTTTTGTTTACGAGAACATCTGTTTTAAAAACTCAATTTTTACCGGTCTGTAGGGACGACAAACACTATTCAAAAAGATATTTTCCGGCGCTACGGCAGCCAGCAGAGAAAAATGTTCATTTACAAATTCAATTTAAAGGATTACGCTGCAAGAATTGACCCTCTGACCAAGACTTACAATCTTAAACCCAGCCAAAAAATAGTTTTGTTCTCGTTTTGAAACTGTTATACTAAATGAGCAGAACGTGTGAGATCAGGGGTTCCTAAAGTTGGGGTCTGGATCCACAGTGGGGTCCCGAAACATCAAGTTGGGGTCTTGAAAAAATTTTCAATAAGGATGCACCGATATGAACATTTCAGCCGATATCAATATCTGATATACAATAATTATTGCTGTTATGGCCGATAACCAATATTTACCAATATTACACAAACACAAATTRTATTACCGGTATACATATACGCACAAATGTACTTAGGTCTTTTTTTGATACTGTAAAACGACCAGACCTCTGACATGGCTCTACTTCTGTTATTCCTGGTTACACAGCATCATTATCACTATCATGAACAAACAGATGCAGTTCAACCAACCGTCTCACCTCCCAAAACAGAAACTAAAGCTAAAATGTCAGAAATCAATATCAGACGTTAATATAGGCCCAGTTTTACATATCGGCCGATACTGATATTAATGCCAATATATCGTGCACCCCTAACTTTTGAATTGATTTAAATTAAAAAATTACCATTAACAATGCTTTTTTWAATTTATTTATTATTTTATTATTTTATTTTTTATCTTAGTTGTTACAAAAGAGTGAGGTTAGYGCACTTGAAGTGGATAAAAGTAGCATAATGAATGCTACTATGACCTTGTTTATAGTTGGGGGCACAGGACTCTGCTGCTGTTATTTTGTGGGTCAAAATCCAACTCAAATGAAGTGAAATTAATCTGCCAGTAAAATAATGAATAATCGAACACACTCTGCTCTCGTTTAGTGCATCAATCAAAAATGATTTTTTTATTTTTTTTTACCTGATATAAAATTGTAAGACTTGGTTAGGTGGACACTTTTTGCAGGGTAGAATTTAAACGATTACTTCTGAAGACATGTCTGATTTAAACATTTCAATTTAAAGATAGATTATATGATATTTTAGTTCCTGAGGTTACCAGATGCTGAAACCAGAATCCTGGGACACCCAACCTTTGTGTTGGACACGTGAAATGAGACGACAGGACTGAATGATTGGAGCTAACTGGAGGTGAAATCATCAAAACATCCTGGAAGTCAGTGCAAAGAGGCTAAAAAGTGAAATTTATTACTGTTCCCAGATTAAACCAAACTCTGACTTCACTTTGTAAATTTTGTCGCTCGTCGTCGTCTTTTTTTTTTTTCACATCGATGAAGGACTGGAGTTGAGATTGACCGTGTCCCACTTCCTCCCTGCAGCCAGTGGAGGGCGCAAACGAGTTCCTGCAGCTGCTGAAGACCCACAAGGAGGAGATGAAGGAGGGAACGAGGGAGCTCAGGAGGAAGAATGAAGAACTGGAGTGGAAGAACGGAGAGCTGGAGAGGAAGATGGAAGAGGGAGAGGTGGAGAAGGAGCGAATGCGCCGCTGCATCGACCAGCTCCGAGCCAAGCTGCTGCAGGTGCAGGTAAAACCATCCTGAAGACCCTTAGTAAAAATATATACTTCAAGTTCATTTTAATAAGTATACTTGAGTTTAAGTTGAAGTATATCAAGTATATTAGGCACCATGTACTTGTAGGTGTACTAGAAAGTATACTGATTTAATACTTGTTTGTACTAAATTGGGACTTTTGTTTGTTAAAAAAAAAGTATACTTTAAGTATACTGTTATAATGTCTTTTGTTGTTTATAAACTTAGAAAAGTACTTACAAAAAAAGTATACTTTAAGTACATGTCATTATGTATACTAAAGTATATAAAATTGAATTTCTCTAAGTGTACTTTTATTTACCATTAAGACAAGTATACTTCTAGGACTAAATTGACCCACAATTAGTTTATGAAAGCATACTCAGAAGTATACTGAAAGTAATTTAAGGATACTTTTAGTTCTTTTTCTTGAAATATACTACAAATAAACCAGGCTGTGTGAAAAATGTACTTTCAGTGTACTGCTAAAGTTTATCTTGGCCAAAGTTTTAAACATTAGTATAGACTAAGTATACTTAAACCTTTGGTATACTTTTAGTATAGTATAAGATAAACTTGGGGAATTATATCTCAGATAAGTACATGAAATGTAAACTAGAAGTATACTCCTTTTATTTTTAGTTTAAAATTAGCATACTTAATGGATACTTATACTACTGGCTTCAAATGAAAACAAGAAGGGGGAAAACAGATTGAGTGTCCAATCCTGGTCCTCGATGGACGCTAGCCTGCAGCTTTCAGAGGTTTCTCTGCTCCAGCACACCTGATCTGAGGTTTTAGTGGTCATCCAGGACCAGGATTGGACCCGTGTGCATTAGCATATTTATGCTAACGCTGTCTTTGAAGTGTCTGATTTTTTGGTGTTTCCGGACGTTTTCTGTCATACGCAGATTAGAAATCCAAAGAATCCTCTTCTTGTTTAAGACCTGAAGGTAAATGTTTTTCAGGYGAGCGGCGGCTCTGAAGAAACCGTTCAGCTTCGCGCTGAGGCGCAGCATTCCTCCGACTGGTACGACGCTTTCCCACACTAACGCAAGCTAACACCACTGAACTGACTTTCTGCTAAACTTTGACTGAGTTTTGTCAAATAACCAACGTGGTGCTGTGTCTGCACTGAACTCTCCTCTGTTAATAAGACTATCAGCATGCCTAATTTATCTTTTTTTTTCCTTCTGCTTAACAAAAACCTTTGAAATGACCCTTGTTTCCCCCTTCTTCCTCTTCCTCCTCGCTCTCTTTTTGTTCCCTTTTCCAGTTTTGGCCTGGCTAAACTCACAGAGCAGCTTCAGGCCACACAGGGCAGGTGAGCCCCCAGCTCTGTGTGGTTTTCTGTTTCTCTGCCTGCCTCTCTCTGAACTCGGAGCTCATTTTGTTTTTTGCTCGTATACCAGAAACGCTTAGACTCTGTCCTATTTGATGTATTTATTTTCTTACCATTGCACCACTCTTAAAGTTGGACTCTTTGCATTAAAATAATCCTGTTAGCTTATATTTCTGTGTAGCTTCAAGCGCTGTCTGTGATATCACAACACAGAGGTCACGATATGATATATTATCATGCTGTCAGCAAGATGATATATCAATATTTTCTCCTCTAAAATAGTCTCATTAAAAAAATAACCCAGTTTAAAGAGCATACAATGCATTACATGCATAAAGTCTGATTGAATTCGGTTTATTTTTATACAGTCAGAAGAACAATAGTGAGAACTGTTTTAATTTCACATTTCTTTCATCCATTAAAGTTCCTGTGACGTGCTTATCCTTCAGATACAAAACATCAAAATCTATCAAAAATTATTTTACCTGTTTGGACACATAACTGGCCTGTTTTCTTTTGAACGTGGCTCGGCAAAAGGGAAACAGGAAGTGACATCAAAGGGGAACTCCTTTAAGAAAAAGAACTCACTGCTCTTTGTTTATTGAAACATTATGATTTGAAATCTGACTCTTTATTTTTGTTTGTTTGTTTGTTTGTTTCTGTCTGATAGTGACTCAAAATGATCTAAAACGTCAGATTCCTCTCCACAGTCTGGGCTGTTGAGCATTTTAGCTTAGCTCTGTTTTCATGCAGACATTCCCCTTTGACATCACTTCCTGTTACTTCACATGTAAATATCTCAACAACTGTTCATCTCAGCGGCATGAAAATTATTTTGTAAAATGTTCTCAGTGTTGTCTTTCCAAAAATRCATTTGTATAATTACAAAAAATTTGATGTCACAGGCACTTTTAAAGATGGATGTACAGTACTTTAAATACARAAAGTCAAGGAAAACATATTTTATATTGAGGAATTTGGCATAATACAAACAATTTTACACATTTTATCGCACAACGGGCATATTTTCTTTTGAACTTGGCTCAGCCAAAGTGAAACAGGAAGTGACATCATGGGGAAACTCTTTAAGAAAAATAACTTCCTGGTCTTTATTTATTAAAACAATGTTATTTGAGCTCTGACTCTTCTTCATCTCTCTGATAGACTCAAAATAATCTAAAGAAACATCAGATTCTTCTCACAGTCTGTGTTATTGTAGCAAAGCTTTGTTTACATTCAGACATTCCCCTTTGACATCACTTCCTGTTACTTCACATGTAAATATCTCAACAGCTGTTCATCTCAGCGGCGTGATTTCTTTTTTGCAACAAGTTGTTAATGTTAGCTTTCAAAAAATGCTTTCATGTTTTTACAAAAAATATTTGTTACAGGTGCTTTAAGTCTCAATTAGGAGTCAATACAGTAACAGGAAATGAAATATCGACCAATATCACAATATTTCAGTGTATTTCTTACACCCCTAAGAGCTTAATTTGAAGTGGGAAGGTATTTATTTCAACATTTTGGCACAGTTCAGTCTTTTTTTTTTTAGAAAGTTTCTAACTGAAACTAAAAAAAATGTTTATGGTGTGTACTGATGCAGCTACAGATAACTATTTTTTATTCAAAAAATTACAATAAAATGTAGGTTCTTGGACAGATTGTACAGTTTAAACATGCAGGAAGGTGTTTAAAGGCTTTTGAAAGAGGATTTTTCGTTGCATCAAGTTGACAGGTGAGCTTTCTCTGCAGGTATCGGGAGCTGGAGGAGAAGCTGGATTACCTGCAGAAGAGCTCTGCTCAGCGGGACCGGACAGAAGCTCTGCTCAAACAGAAGGACAAGGACTGTGCTCAGGTGTGACGCTCAACCCGCCCAGCGTTCTGACTCCTGATCTCACTGCAGCCATTAATGTGGGTTAATGTTTTGTTTTCACAGCTGGCCAAAGACTGCGAGGCCCTGAAAGCCCAGGCAACCTCCCTGCTAGGAGAGCTGAACGAGAGGCAGAGCTGCCTGGAGAAAAGCGAGTACGAGCGCAAAATTCTGGAGGAGAAGTAAGCGGCGGCGTCACGTCAGCGTAGCGTGGGGTCTCCGTCCTCTCCCCGCTGAGCCGTGTTTTTTTGTCTCCGACCCGCAGGCTGGTGGGTAAGGTGAAGGCACTGCAGGCGGCGGAGCGAGAGCTGGAGCAGCAGAAGACGCAGCACAACGTGGCCATGGACAAGCTGCTGCTGCAGGTCCAGGGTCTGGAGCAGGCCCTGAAGACGGAGAGGCACACCGTCACTGAGGAGAAGTGGGTTCACTCCCGTAAATAACGGGGATTCGACTCGACGTTTACGTAAATGTGACCCATCACATCGAAACACGGATGAAGTCCAAAAGTAGAATGTGGGAAAACATGCAGATTTAGGGTTTTGATTTAAAYGTCTGCAAAAATAGCATTTTGTCTCATTTGAATGAACAGTCTGAAATATAATCCTAAAGAAAATTTTCAAGCATTTTTTTTTTGAGCAGCAGCAACAAAAAACCTGATTTTGAGGAAAATGCTTTAAAATTTTGAATTTTTCCCTGTCAGTTAACAATGTTCTTGTTTCTTTCCAGCTGGGAAATCTTAATATAAAAATACTATTTGAGGCTCTTTATATTGACATAAAAAAATAACTCAATTAATTTACATAAAATTAAAATTCAGACCWAACAGTAATGTATTATCGTAACCAACAAGACAAATGAGATCATATCTCTGGATAAGCTTATGATATCAGAATGATCCAGGTATCAAAATGTAGCTTTTAAAGCAGGAATCTGAAAATGTAATTAGGTCATTTTGAACAAATTTGACTTAATCCTCATTTTGATATGATGGGTCACATATATAAAAGTATGTAAAACTCTGCTTGAATGATTCCTCTCTTTAAGGAAAAAACTGACCCAGCTGCAGCACGCCTACACGTGTCTGTTCAGAGACTACGATTCCAAACTGAAGAACGAGGTAAAAACACACCCACACGCTTCGGTCCTCACGCCGCGCTCGTTTTAAACTTCCTCTCCCGGCGGCGCCGCAGGAAGGAGACCTCAGCAGCCGACTGGAGGAGGCGGAGCGGGCGCTCGCCTTGAAGCAGGACCTGATCGACAAACTGAAGGAGGAGGTGGAGCAACAGAAAGGCTCGCTGGAGACCGTCCCTGTCCTGACCGCGCAGGTACCCTCGCACACCTGWACCTGTTTACAATCAGTAACAACTCTGATCTCAGGAGGACTTGTTAGAGCTCAGACGATGTGTCGTGGATGACTCTCAGCTACTACCACACCAGATTTTAGCCCAACATCTGTCACCGTTTTTGTGTTCGCTAAGGTTGATCACTGAAAATCTATCCAGTGGTTCATAACAAACAGCCAGAGTTGACTCCAAGTGTTAAGCTTTGCTATCAGCGCTCTGAGTTGAAGTTGGAGATTTATTTATTTATTTATTCATTTAATTTAAAAACAAAAATAAATTCTACACAACAAAAATATACAAATCCCAACTGAAATGAAAGGAGGCAGAAATAAAAAAATCTTATATCTGCCCCTTTGTTCCATAATTAATTTCAAGCAATAATAATCAAGAAACAAAAACAAAATAAAACCTTCAATTCCTTCTCAAACAACAACTTTTGATTTTTATAAATACCATTTGACGCTAGTCAAACAGCAAATATCAAATACTTTACATTGTTAATTGTTTTATTTGTTATTTAAATACTGTTAAATGGCATTTTATTTCTTTTTGACGCTCTTAGTTTGAAGTTTAGCTGCTAAAGACGCTACATGCTACACACACGGTGCCTGACACGTCCAGCACTGCTTGTAAGAGAGGATAGTTTTTATTTATTTCAGGATGAATGGCATAAAAATAAAAAAAATTTAAACTTGTGAAATTTTTAGTGGACTTAAATTTASCAGAACCTTATTTAGCGGAAGGGAATTGGTTCGCTAACGGTTTCCAAAGTTAGCCAAAAGGCTAATTCTAAAGCTAAATGAGATGCTAGTTCTGCTATTAACAGATTGGTGGATTAGCGGAACTGTGCCCACCACTGGCTACTGCCAAACAAAAATTCAGCATATTTGCAAAACTTGATATTTTGCTAACAGAAAGACAAACAGCCACAGTTTTGTCGTTCATTTTTAGCGTGCCTTCAGTTTGCTTTAGTTCAACAGTTTTTCAAACAAATTGGACTTATTTTATTTTGTGTTTTCTCAGGCGGAGATCTACAAGGCCGATTTCCTTGCAGAGCGAGAAGCGCGAGAGAAGCTGAACCAGAAGAAGGAGGAGCTGCAGGAAGAGCTTAATAAGGCCGTGACCGAGATCGAAAGGCTCAATCAGGATCTCTTATCACGGTAAAATTAACTAAATGATCTGTAACCGTACGCCTGTTTCTTTTAACGGGAGCTCAGATCTTCGTTTGGGTCCGTTTGGATTCCAGGAGACGTGTCCTGATCTCCTTTGCTAATCAGATGCTGAGTCAGCTTCTTTAGCTTCGCTGCAGACGTCAGCTGGATCTACGTTTTTCCTTTTCACGATGCCCAAACRACACCCAGCTTCAGATTTAAATCTGGATTTAAAGGTTGAGGATCTGCAGTAAACCTCAGGCAGGACAAAGTCCCTGTCTGTCCTTCTATAAGACAGTCCACGCTTAATTGTCTTATCTGTCCATACATGGGACAGCGGTTTGTTTAGGGACCTTCAATAAATTACTGAAGAAACACTTGAGAAGCAAAAACAAAAACCTTTTAGGTCATGTGACACAAAACTAAATAGAACAAGGCAAACCTCAACCTGATTTTAAGGTATTTTCTATTTTATTTTAGTAAAATTGATGAGTTTTATTTTATATGTTTTAGGTCATGTGACACAAATGTGATGTTTGAAGAGCTGCTGAAGTCCAGCACCAGTTCTTGAGTTAAACTGAACTTGTTCCTTTAATAATATTAAGTTTTCATACATTTGGTACTGCGATTATTTCTACTTTATTATTAAAATAACATTTGAATAATCAGCATTGAGACATTATTCTTCTCACTACACCACAAGCTGATAGCTGTAGATGGAACAATAAAAATGAAGCGGTAAATTGTTAAAAGCTCTTGTTAAGTGACGCACAGTTATTCTCACAAAAAAATAACAACATTTTTTAACACAAAATGAAAAATGATCTCAAATTGTTTTTAAAAACTGCAGATTTTGGACTCCAGCCTGGTTCCAAATGCCAGGAAATGTGTTTCTCAACAATGC